TGATGTCTTTTTCTAATCCCCGATACTATATTTGTGGTTAAATGTAGAAAAAAAAGAATGAAAAAATCACCTGCATACCAAGTTTATAGTATGCAAGCTGACGATAATACGAATAGATGCGCTATGATGGTAAAAGGAGTTGATGGGGGGGGAGGGGGTGTTTTTAGGTCAATTACAGGCGGTAAACAATTCAAGGTGAACGTTTGAAAACATTTTCAAGGCTGGAACCATAAGACGCACAGCAACGCCAACAAGAGCGAGGGCTTAAACGGGTTCACGCCAGCTCACGGAGTCGAACTGGCACGTGGCGTCGTGGGGACGAGAGGCAGGACGACAGGTCCGTTGGGTGAGTTGCCTTTTAAGGCGAGATAAACGGGGTGGGTGAGGGTAGGTGTTATTCGTCCCGAAATAGAACGAACGGCCTTGACCTTAAGCTGATCTCATTATACCCTTCGTGTCATGGCCTCCATATTTTGGCCATTGTTCTGACCATTACACGGACATTGTGCTGGCCAACACTCGGTCGCTGTGGAGAGATTAAGTAATAGAGAAGAATGCTATCAAGAGGTGGTTCAAATCGTTGCAGACACTTTTCAATGACGTCTTGCCTACAACGATGGCACCTTTAATAAAAAAAAATTATTATAATGGGTCTAATTTAAGCTATTGTTTAACATGTTGTGAGAACTAGTTAAATTAGCACCAGCAACTAGAGTGGCTGTTATCAATAATGTGATTGCATCATCACCTCTCTCTCTTACTTTGTCTCCTCTTCTCTCTCTCTCTCTCCCCTTTCTCTCTCTTTCTCTCTTTCTCTCTCTCTCTCTCTCTCTCTCTATATATATATATATATATATATACACACATATAAAATGTATAAATTACATTTTCGGAAGGGCACTCTCTTCACATCGTGTAATAGCTTGAAGAAGAGCTTTCTTGTTTAAATAAGTACTTAAAGTAACAGGAAGTGTGTGTATGTCTGGAGGTGTGCGTGTGTGTAGAGGTGTACAGTGTACGTGTGTATGTCGAGTAAAGTAAGTCAAAAGAAGTGGAAGTAAAGGCAAAACCAAATCAGACAGTGGCACTGAAAAGTCCAAACACAGGACAGCGTCACTTGAGTCCGAACACAAGACAGCGTCACTTGAGCCCAAACACAAGACAGCGTCACTTGAGTCCAAACACGAGACAGCGTCACTTGAGTCCGAACACAAGACAGCGTCACTTGAGTCCAAACACAAGACAGGCTCACTTGAGCCCAAACACAAGACAGCGTCACAGGAGCCCAAACACAAGACAGCCTCACTTGAGCCCAAACACAAGACAGCGTCACTTGAGCCCAAACACAAGACAGCGTCACTCGAGCCCAAACACAGAAAGACTGCAGACAATCAAAATGTCAGGAAATAATAATATTAATAGGAAGCCCGTTTGTATTTCATTTCAGAAACGTGATTACACGTTAGGGATGTCTCCGTGAGGCTTTTCCTGCCAAGTGTGCACCGATGAGTGACCTCAACACAACTCAAGGTCATGGCCTAAGAGCCACCGAATAAACGAGAGTCACATGTTCCGCAACATATCACCAAATGAATCAAAACACTTCATTTTTAACAAACAAACAAAAATCGTACAAATAAGTTGTAAATGTTGACCAAAACGTCGCTCATTTCTGGGGGATTAACGGAAACAAAGTATGGGAAAACCTAACCAAAGGACTTATTTCCTGTTACCTATGGGCGCCCGCAGAGAACATTCTAAGGGGGGGGGGGAGTCCAAAAAATCGATTAACTTT